TTGTAAGTGAAGGTTGAAAGATGAGAAGCAAGAAGCAGAGAGGCAGAAGGAACAAAGAAGGCGGAGACACCAAAAAGCTGGGAGGAGGGGATCCCAATGGAAACAACAGAGCTTGAAAGTCATGGTTTCTAACGCAAAGAACATAGGCTAGGGCTTTAGGAGGTATTTGGGGGCAGCACCCAGCATGCACTTTTCGGGGTTCATCAAATGAAGGGAGAGGCAGGAGGAAACAGAGGAGGCAGGAGAAACTCCAGATGGCCGCCCCTCCATCCCTCAGACACACTCTATTCCTGAGGTATGCAGACATATGGCCCAGTAGACAGTCAGAACAAAGCCTTCAGGAAGGAGAGGAGCCTGGAAGGGAGAGGCCCAGGGCCCAAGGGATGGTTGTGAGGGCCCCAGATGGCGGATGGGGGGCCCTACTTGAGCTTGAGTTCCCGGGTCTGCTCGTTCTGCGCCTCCTCCAGGTCCTGTCGCACGCGGATGTACTCGTCATGCTGGTCCTGGATCTCCGCCTTCACCGCCTGCAGCTTGGCGTAGAGCTGGGTGGGGACAGGTGCAGCTCAGGGGCTGGCCAGTGAGGCACCGAGGCTTCGGTCACCCAGCCTGGGCCCCCACGGCTGCAGGCTCATGGTCCACCAGCCCAGTCCAGTATGAGGCCAGGGCTCAAGTCTGAAACTCCCTCCGGCCCCACCGGGAATCAAAACGGGTTATTCTAAGGGCTGCCCTGTCCCTCCTGCACTGTGGCCTGTTACCCTGCTCCCTCTCAGCTGCTGTCCGCATCTGGCAATGTTCAAATTTGAAGGGACTCAAGGTGCCTTTTGGTCAAACACCCTCTTTTTATAGATGAGGAAACTCAAGCATAGACTTGCTCAAGGTCACACAACTAGGTAACAGAAGAGCCAGCATCAGGACCCGAGCATCAGGACCGCTGGTCCAGGGCTCAGGGAAGGGAGGGAGCCAGTTTGGAAGGCGACCCATCCCACTCCTGCCTCCTCAGCAGCCCTCAAAAGTAGGGGTGTGGAGGGCAGCACTAACCCCCCTGTCCCACTCCTAATCCACTGAAAGTTGTGTCCCTGGAAACTGCCACCATGGCTGGGCCTCTGCCTGGCCTGCTCTGGGGCAGCCACCTCAGCAATCCTAAGGACTCTCAGATTCTTCCAGAATCCAGGTGGAATTTGCTGTTTCCTGCCCTGGACCCTCAGCTCAGGCACACGCCTTTCCCCAGCCATGGACTCTGCAGGGCCCTGGTGGCCGAGACTCTCATCCCTTTTAGTGTCCTTGGGGCCCTGTGTTTCCTCCCTGGGCTCTCCCAGGCTTGCGCCTCCTCGGGCCTCCTCACCACTTCCCTGGCCTGCTTTCTGCCTGGACTTCCAAACTCTGATTCACTGGTGACACTGGAAAGGGGAAGGTTACCCAGGACCACGTGGATGGCAGCCCTGGAGAGTGGGAATGAAAGTGCTTCCCGCCTATGGGCCCTGCCCCACCCCAGAGAAAAGGCTCTACTCCACCCAACTGGCCCCCCGCCACCCCCGCTCCTCACCCCAGCACCCAGGCAACAGAACTCAGGGCGTGAGCCACTCAGGCCAAGTGGGGCAGGGCCGCTAAAGCACACTCCCTTTGGGCAGGTGCCCGTCTTGGGCGGAGGCTGTCAGGCCCTCGCGCACTGTGACCTTGTCCTGCTGTGGCATCTCACCTTCTTGAGTTTCTTGGTTTTGACCTCCACTTCCTGCTGCAGGGACGTGTAGGTGCCACGGAGCTCCATGGTCTCCTCGTCCCGGAGCAACATCTCCTGCTGCATTTCCCGCTCGCGGCGTTTCTAGGCCAAGCAGGGTACGGGGCTCAGTGGAGCAGCACGTACTGGGGAAGGCCAAGGGAGCTCGGGGGGCTGGCTCGGTCTGCTTAGCACGGAAGCTGGCTTCATTGCGGCCACATGTGCGTCCCGTGTCTCAGATCCATTGCTCCCACCCCATACTCAGTGGAGCCTCTCTGAACCTTCTCAGCTCATATGGCCATGCTTTCACCAGCCACTGCCCCATGAGGAAGGAGACCCCAGCCCAAATAGCTGGTGCCTTCCAGGGGTGTCAACCACATATACAGATGCCCAGCAGATTGGCTCCCCAGCTGCCTCAGCCTCTCCCATGTAACACAGTTGACTGGTAAGACCAACAAACTGTGGTTCTTGATGATCTAGGACACAGTCATTCAGTTGGCAAAGAACTCACACCCTCATAGTGGAGGGCCCAGGAATTCATGCCAGGTGAATTTTGGAGGTTGACATCACAGAGAGCCACCACTTGCACTCACCCACCAGCTACCAGAAGCAGGCCCCTGGGCAGGTGGACCATGGGATGCAGGGCAGCAGGTCCTAGGTTCCCAGCACTGTAACTCCAGAGATCCTGAGTCCTTGATGACTCACTGCCCTGAGTCCCCCAGACGTGGCCTCGGGGCCTTGCACCCGCCAGGGACCTGAAGCCCCCCAGCCCTACCTGCTCGGCAATCTCCTGCCTCCTCAGTTCCAACATCTTCTGCTGCTCGTTGGTGTGGTCCATGATGTTCCTGCCCCCAATGAGCAGCTTGCTCTCCATGGCCTGGGGACACACAGGGGTGAAGAGATGGGCTGTGGGGCTTTCCAAAGGGCCACAGTAGCCCCAGCTTGAGAGGTTTGGCTTCCCTGCTCTGTGGTCCTTCCAGGAGGGGACACAAGTTGGGGCCCACATGGGGCCTCATGACCCCCACTGAGAATGAAGTTTCCCCTCCAGCCTCCTGGGGCCCTGCACAAGGCTCCTATTGTCGGCAGGACCATTAGGTGAGACAAAGAGAGGGAATCCCTCTGAGAATACAGGGCACCTGATCTGTTTGCTTTGGATACAGATGGAAGGCTGGTTCATCATGCCTGGGAAGGGAGTGCGGGCGGCAATCTAATCCTGGCAACTCAGACCCAGCTGGTGTTCAGGAGGCGGGGAGACAGAGGATACGGTCACCGGGCAGCCCACCCTTTAACTAGCTGGCTCCCAACTCAGGAAGAGGGCTCTCACACAGGCAGCGGGAAGGCCCTAATCTGCAGCTGCAGGGCAGAAGGAAAGCCAGAGGGAGAAGACTCTGCAACACTAAGGGGCATATGGGACACTAGAAGCAGCACAAGCTTTGGAGATGACCAAGAAGACTTGGGCTCACCATTAACTGCCCGGCCTCGGCCGAGTGACCCCTTCCTCTCTCATGTCTGTAACGCTGGAACTGCCTCTGCTCCAAGATGGCCAGCAAACATGGGCTGAGCACCCTCGGCCAGGTGTCTCCATCCTCACCCTCAGGGACCCCAGCCAACAAGGGGAGGAACTGGGGCAACTAGCCTCAGGTCACACAGCTAGTTACCAAAAAGGTGAACTCTGAGCCCCACCCCAGCCTCCCCACTGAGCCCCGTGCTGTGTGAAGCCCCCTGCCCAGTGCTTGGCACAGGCATTCCGTAAGCGCTTGCTGAATCTGAAGCTTAAATAATGATGGACTTGTGTAAATGGTGACCATAGTGACTACATAAAATGCCTTTTCACTACTGCTAATCAGAGGGCGCTGCCCCAGGGCACCCCAGCTGTCCTCTGATCTCATCCCAGGCCTCCCGGAAGGTTGAAATCACCTTGAGCCACCAGAAGAAATTGGCTGCCTCCCCACTGGAATTCTTCCCAGTGGAAGCAGCTGACCTGGGGGAGGGCTCTCAAAGCAGGGGGTCCCTGTGCTACCGCGAGGGCCCCATCCATCCTGGAGGGCGGAGCAGGGTTTGAGGGCTGATTTTGGAGGGTCAGAGGTTGGGCTACGTGAAGACGCCAGAGGACACTGAGCAAAGCAGGGCCAGTCCCAGCTGCCGCAGGGGAGCTGCTGCAGAGGAAGGCACCCTCGCCAGACAGCCACTGCTGCTCCAGCACCTCCCGCAGGCCCCGCTTCTGGCTAGCGTCTCCCCAGGTACCCACCCCCATGGCACAGACCTCAATTCATCCAAGACTCCTTCTCACTCAAAGTTGGCACATGTCCACCCGTTGAGTGAGCGACTCCTTAAGTTTTGTGCCCTGGGCACCTTCCCCCCATCAGGTAAGGCCCCACCCTGCATCTCTCTCACCCCTATATCTGGCCAGTCATTAAATCCCATCAAGTCTGTCTTCTCAGCATGACGCACACCACTCCCTCCTTTTCATCCTCATGACTGCCAACGTCACTGTGATCCTCATGACTCACCTGGATCATTGCAACGAGTTCCCCACTGCCTCAGTATCCCTTTCCATCCCTCTCCACTTGACACCCAAGGGGATCCACCAAAAATCAAGTCTGAACATGCCTTTCCTCTGTTGCAAACTATTGAAAGGGCCTCCATTCCTCACAGGATAAACCCCAAAGTTCTAGCCGTTACGGGCCCCGAGGGTGGGCCTCACTTACTTCCCATGTGTGCTTTGTGCTCTGGCCTCACGGGAAGAATTCCGGCCCCCTGAATGGGCTGTGCCTTTTCACAACACTGGGCATCTCTCCCCGCTCCCCGTCCAGCTGGGAAACGGCTACTTCTCCTGCAAGACACAGCTTGAGCATCTTGGGAGGGTTTCTCTGATTCCCTCAACTCTGCACGTTTCCTCCCTTGGGCCTCCCCAATAACCAGGACACTTTCCTACCATTTTCCCATATTGTACCATTGTTTGTGTACATCCTGTCTCCTCTGTGAGCTCCTTCAGATCAGGAATCATGCCTCACTCATATTGGAGTCCTAGGGCTTAGCACAGTGCCCGGCACGTAGGAAGTGCTCCATACACGTTAGGTGAATGGAAAGAAATCGTTAGGGTGGCCTCAGAGGGGCCTTTCAGGTCCTTTCTCTGGACTCTCTCATCCAGAGCAGAACTGGATCTTCAGCCCAGGTTCTCCGACATTAAGCGGTCAACTCACACTCATTGGCCAAGGGGCAGAGCAGCAGGGTCTGAGCATCTGGGAAGCCTGGCAGGAGGGATGGGCTGGGTGTGAAGAGGGAGAAGGAGAGAAGGCAGCGGCTCTGCTTGGACCTGGAGGAAGCCCCCGACTGCCGTAGGCCATGGATAACTCATCCCTCAAACTATCAGGGAATGGCATTTGGGGGGACCTGGTGTCTGGCCTGGTCTCCCATTCTAGGACACACTTGTCCACCCCAGCCCTGAGTCCTTGCACTTCCCTTGGCATTTTATGTGGCCCAAGTGGTCTTCACTCCTTGCCATCTAACAGAAAGACACTAGGTCTTAAAACTGTTTGCATATTAGAATCACCTGGGGAGATTTTAAAACTCCCAATGCCGGGCCACATGGCAGGATTACCTTGGTCCCTTCCCCTCGAGAGTGGCAGTGAGAACTCCCAAGCCAGATGCCCTAGAGCTGACGCTAGTAAGGAAGGCACAGGGCAACAGCTGGTGCCCTGCTTTTTCCTGCCTGATTTAAAGACTCAGGACGAGGCTGGAGGGAGCAGCACAGGGCAAAGAACCAAGAAGAAGACCATTCTTTTCTTTGCACCTGCTATGTGCCAGGAGCCTCACATTTACTCCTGCTAATAACCCTTTAAGCAGTGGGTCTCAACGTCTGATGGGCATCAGAATCACCTGGAGAGCTTTTAACAGGCTCAGTGCCCAGGCTACACCCCATTACCAGTTAAATTGGAACTGGAGGGGGGCAAGTGGGGAGGTCCAGGCATTGGTGGTTTTTGAAGGTTCCCAGGGGATTTCAATGTGCAGTCAAATTTGAGAATCACTGCTTTTAGCGGTCCCCAAAATTGGTATTATCTGAGAACTTGTTAGTAACGCAGACTCTTAGGCCCTATGCAGGCTTCGTGAATCAGGATCTGAGATCCCCAGGTGACTCGTGTGACATGCTTTAAGGGGAAGACTATTAGCACCATCATTTTCCTGATAAAAACTCAGAGAGGTTAAGTAATCCATCCAAGGTCACATCATGGCCATTAAATTTAAATGGAGACTCTAGGCTCAGGTCTGCCTGGCTCCAAAGCCCACGTTCTTCCTGCTGCAGACATTGTGCGGCGTGCTTTAGAAAGCAGAACCTGCTCAAAGGAAAGCAACATGTTTCCAGCAAGAGGAAACCATATCTGACTGATCTCCAAGAATTCTTTCAGGGACAAAATAGATTATTCCAGTCTGTGGGGAAGACGGTGGCCAGAACTTCAGAGGTTAAAACGCTTCTGCAAGGGTCTACATCAGAGGTTATTCAAAGTTACATGAGGGTGGGGGGGTGGAAAGGAGATAGAAAAAGGGAAATACTTTCTCACCACAGGGAGGTGGATTAGGGAAAGGAAACAGAAATAAACAGGCCTCTCTCTAGATGGAAAAATGTTTAAATGTCAACTGGTGGGACTGATCTCCATTAGAAATCTTGCAAGAAAGGGTGAAAGGTGAAATACCAATGTCAAAGATGCCCCCAAATCCTTGCAGATGATAAAGAGCAAGAGAATTTCTGAGTTGCCAAAAAATGGCAGATGAGCTTCAATCACAGTTTTATATTTGGGGAAGAAGAATGCCTAGCTCTACTCAGTAAATGCTATGAGCAATCAGTTATAAACCAAAAAGAGAGAAGAGGGGGTAGTTTTTCTCTACTGTTCCCAGAAGACACTGGCTTAACATGCTGCCACAGCTAAAAATGCCAATAGCATCTGGCCAGGCACCATCACGAAGGCTTTTTGGAAACCACACAAAAATCATTCCACCCAAATATAAAACTATGATGCAGCTGAATCTGGAGTACTGTGTGTCGATCACTCACTGCATCTCTGGGGACATGAAGGAGAGCGAAGATCCAGAGAAGGGCAGCTAAAACCATCCAAGGGCTATTATAAGAGACTCAAAAAAAAAAAAATAGGACTCTTTAGTCTGCAAAGACAAAGAAAGGTTAAGAGGATGGATGGACCTGGAAACTATACCATCAAAACAGGTGTGAAAAGGAAAGATCCAGGGTTTTCCAATCAATCCCTGGCACAGAGAGTAAGAGCTTGTACCTTGAGTTTTTAGAACTAAGGGAAGTTCTGTTTACAGAAGGTAATAAATTTATGAAATATGATATCTCAGGAGAACTGGATCAAATACTTCCCAGCTCATTAAGGGATTCTGGGGACACATTTATAATCTTTTATTGTCCTCTGCTTTCAGAAAAAAATATTTGCACTAACGTCAAAATAACCTCAGAAATAAAATGGAAAAAAACTTTCACATACTCCTCATTATAGCTACTTAGCTTCTTTTATTTTCCCTATTTTCCAGATTTTTCCATAGGCACACATCATTTTTTCACATCTATAGACATGGTATAAATACATGTTCTGCTATTTCCACTTTATCAAATATCTCAAGAATTTCCTGTTCCTCCCATAAGATTTATGATTATAAGTTTAATGACTACATGAATGGATAATTTATCTTTAATTAATCCCCATTATAAGATATCTTGGTTGTTTGGTTAATGCTTATAATAAATACTCTTACACATATAATTTTTTGCTTGTTTAGATGACTTTCTTAGAAGGAAATTTCAGGAGTGGACAAAAGATTATAAACATTTTGTACATCTTAGAACACACTGTCAAGTTACCTTTA